TACCACTTTATAATGCCTTGGTAAGGCCACACTTGGAATACGGCATTCAGTTTTGGTCACCACGATGTAGAAAAGAGACTCTGGAGAGAGTGCAGAGAAGAGCAACAAAGATGATTAGGGAACTGGAGACTAAAACATATGAAGAACGGTTGCAGGAACTGGATATGTTTAGTTTAATGAAAAGAAGGACTAGCAGTGTTCCAATATTTCAGGGGTTGCCACAAAGAAGAGGGAATCAAAGTATTCTCCAAGGCACCTGAGGGTAGAACAAGAAGCAATGGGTGGAAATTAATCAAGGAGAGAAGCAACTTAGAACTGAGGAGAAATTTCCTGATAGTTACAACAATTAATCAGTGGAACAGCTTGCCTCCAGAAGTTGTGAATGCTCCAACACTGGAAGTCTTTAAGAAGGTGTTGGATAGCCATTTGTCTGAAATGGTATAGGGTTTCCTGCCTAGGCAGGGGTTGGACTAGAAGACCTCCAAGGTCCCTTCCAACTCTGATATTGTATATTGTATGTACTTATAGACAATATGTTAATATTAGATGCTTCCTTTATTGAAAAGATGATAAACTAATTGTAGAAGTTTCTGGCCTGGAAAAAAGCAAGATTCCCCTGGTAAAAATGTGTTTTCTGAAAATCACGTTATGTCTAAAGAACATATGTTGCTTATTTCAGTCTTTTCCTTAAGCTAAAATTGCTTTCTGCTTTCGGCATCATAGTCAATAAGGAATAAAAGGAATGGAATAATTAATATAGTTTACAAGGGGTTGATAGGATTATTACAGATTAATGAAATGATGGTTCAAAATTGGGCCTCATAGTGTAGGTGGCAAAATGAACATCATTAAATACAAATTGCAATACGTAATCATAGCTAAATCCAGATTGCCACTATGTATTGAGCTTCCTGTAAGTTGGGGCTGTTGAAATGAACATCCACATGCTTTTCTCACACATGTGGACTGCAACGCTTGGCCATAATGTACTGGCTGCTGTTGTGCAGTAGGTATTGGGTTTCCTAAGCAAAAAATACAAAATGCTCCCTTTCAGAGCTTTTTAATTCTGTGCAACAGATGCGTTATTAGTCAAACCACCTAGTGTATTGCGTTTAAAGTCTCTAATCTTAAGTTTCGAACTGCCTACCCTCGCATAACTGTGTGGGATGTAATTTTGTCCTGATGCAAAGAAGTGTGAACAGTTTTGCTAACATTTCCCAATGGAGCTTTCTCCACCTACTGCTTTCTGCTGTGCAGGTGCCCTGGAAAAGTCTTGTTGAGAATTAAAGTTTCCTGTTCCAAATATATTTCCTGTTAAAGGGTCATATATAGTATTGCACATGTGAAATCTTGCCTGAATCACTGCATGAAATTTCAGAACATTGCTGCCAATCTGAGTTTGATAGATCAGAGATCTGTTGGTATTTTTTCTTAATAAAGCTATCCTTTATTGATGGTCAGTGGATGGTCAATACAGATAATCAATACAATGAAAGTCTAGAATCTAAAGAACAAAAGAAATAGATGAATGACACCCCTGCCCTAAAGAAAATGGTACATCAAAAAGGAGATATTAAATGGAGCTGTATTACTGAGATGTTAGGAATCTAGAAAGTAGGAATGGCCACCATAGCAACATCCCATTCAAACTTGGTTGCCTTTTTTTAAATGAAAGCATAAATTGGATACGTGGGATTCTCACTAGAGCTGAAGGAAGGAGGCAACCACAAGACCAGATGGGAAAGTGGGCAGCAGGAATTATGAGTAAGAAGCAGTGAAGATCAGGGAATCCAGATGTTTTCTGACTCATGTGTCTAGTCTGCAACAAAATGTCCTAGACTGCCACCGGGTTTCAAATGCTCAATTTGAATGAATTTCAGACAAAGTCAAAGGAAAAGATAGAATGATGATGATGACAAAACAGGAATCTGAACTCAACAGGATCAAATGCCCGGAAGGCTGCTGAAGTGAAAGCTTTGAGCATCAGATGGAATAACTGTTTAGCGAAAGACAGTAAAAACATAAAGAGATGAATAACCTTTCCAATTCAACAAGGTTTAGTGAAATGTGATAATCACAGTATCTTCACTAAATTGTTGAAATGAACCGGTCTAAAGTTATTCCTGTGTGTTAGGGAATAACACATTGAATATATTTCAAGCTGAATCACAGATGGATTTCTACATGAAATCTTAAAGAAAAATACTGATTTTATTAAACCTTGTGTGACTTCAAACAAGCATTCATGTTTCATCAAGTTGGTAACTATTTATGTCAGATAAATACTCCATGGCATTTGTCCCTACATATTTTCCTATAGGATTTCTGAATACAATACCAGCAAATAAGTCATAATTTGATGCATGTATACTGACATGCTCAGGTGAACAGAATTAATTTAAGTGGAATGTGTTACCTAAGGACACATTCCAAAATGGAATCAGATTCCTTGCAGAATTGCTATCAATCTTTTAAATTCCGTTTTTTATCTAGACCTTTATTAAAAATAATAATTCACAATTATTTCACATTACATTCTATTAAAAAGCATTTTAATTGAGGTATGGAAAGTTTTCCATCCTTCACAACCTTAAATAACAGTACAATGAAAGAGCACATTTCATATTTTGAAATGCTTTTACTATTTTGGTTTGACACACTCAGGTTTGTGCTATAAACATTTAACAGCAAAGTTTTTTTGCTAACATCATTATTTGGTGGTTACATTTCATTAAATAAACCTGAAAAATAAATTAGGATATTTTGCTCTGTACTGCTAAAATGATCTCATAAGCGCTGTATGAAATTTTATGAAAAATTAGATTAAGTTGTAGTATACCTTATATTGATTTTATTGAAAATTCTGACTTTAGCTGTTGACTGAATCAAACCTGTAGAATGTAATCTTTTGTACATTTTGTACGTTTTTATTTAGTAAATTAATGTAGAAGCCCTACTAGTATGTAGGGTTAATCTGTACAAATTAAGTTACTAGTTTGCCAAAATATATATTTTATAAAATTGATAGAAATAATGCTACTGCATTATATAATCAACAGACCTTTCCTTAGCTATTTTCATTCCAGTAGTATCTGAAAGAGAAATTATCTGGAAATGATACATGTATGAAAGAGAAAGACTTTGATGATATGAATAGGGTCACCATTTTGATATTTTTTTTATTTCCCTTTGCAGATACCGTTTCTTGCTAAGAATGCTGACAATGATTTTTACACGCTTCATAGAAAAGTTTTCATGATCACTTTAAAACAGATAACATTTTATATGAAGCATATAAAACAAAATCTGCCACCACTCCATTACTCTGCAATAATTTTCTTGTGCTGTAGAAATTCAAAGCCTGAGTTGTTTTTACTCCTTTTTTTAAAGAAATGGCAAAGTAATTCCTTTCAGCACAAGGAATCTGTCACGGACTGCTATTTTTACATACAGAAGTAGATGCCAATAAAATTATTCATGTATGGATAGTTTCTAGTTAGTAAAAGGCCATAAAATTCACTGCTTCAGTTTTGCATTAAAATTGATAAATTTAAAATAGCAGTTAAGCATCTAAATGTGTTTAATGCCAAGTCTTTTGTTCACAAGTAAGCATGATGACATGGAATTGAAAAAATATCGGAGGAACAATTATATGCTATTAATGTAGTTTAATTTTACTCTTGTCATTTTAAGTGTATAATGTTTTGTACCCTTAGGTATGGCAGAAACTGCCTCATTCAATTTGAGGATTTTGCCAACCAAAACGCATTCCGTCTTCTGAAAAAATATCGCAACTTCTACTGCACTTTCAATGATGACATTCAAGGTAATGAAATATTTGTAATCCCTGTTTAGCAGAGGACGATATGATTTAATAACTTACTATTTATAAACACTCTTGTGTGACATCCAGGCAACCCATTACGTCATGTGCTTGTAGATCCACATAATGATAGGGCTAAAGTGTACAAGCCCTTTGTGGATTTCCTACGCAGACATACTAGTTGATCTTTGCTGTCTCAGTGTCACATTTTAGCTTTCCTGAGAGGGAGCTAAAGGTGCTTCCCTGGCCTATTTGTCATGAGGCATCTGTGGACTTCCAGCAAACTTCCTTTAGTAATTGAATACAGATTTTATCCTTTACTAATTCTTGCAAGTGCATGCAAGAATTATTGACTCTCAATTCTTCATTTTTTTGGAGACCAAAGATGGTTTGATAAAATACAATATTATTAAGACACATTTACCTACAAAGTTTAAAATAGTGCAACCAATGGTATTTGCTGTGACATTCCATGAAAGCAAAAAGTAGACTTTGAAGAATAGCAGTAGCAGTTAGACTTATATACCGCTTCATAGGGCTTTCAGCCCTCTCTAAGCGGTTTACAGAGTCAGCATATTGCCCCCAACAACAATCTGGGTTCTCATCCACAACAAATCTGACATCACTATTGTGG